TCTTAGATTTGTCTGCAGTTTCTGTCATGTAGTTCTTAACTAGTCCAAGAACTAATAAAGCAAATGCTGCATTTTTATTGTTCACAGTCTGTAGCCTGTTCTTAAAAATTGTCATGTAAAATCCTTTTTTGTGTGGAAGTGGGGGGTGGGGGAGAAAACATCATGTAAGACTTAGTTTGCTATTAACTGCTTGCCGCTTGTTTCTCTCCCATTCTAATTTTGTAGGACATCTACAGATTATTTTCTATAGATGTAGAATCTAAATAAAAAGTGCTTTCTCATATAACATTATGTTTGTGTTACAGTAATATTGTTCTGTATGTTGTTTGGAGAAAAGGGTGGGTAGGAACAGACTGAATATGAAAGGAGATGATTATTAGTAGTTCCCTTGAAAAATAAATGATAAAAGTTGTTTTTAGCGTGATTGAGGTGAACAGTATTGAGATGATTGAGATGAACAGTAATGGACAGGCTAGAAAACTAGGGAGAAAGGATTGATAGGAATTACTGAATGATGGGATGAGGTGAGTAAAGAAGACTTTGTCAAGTAACCCCTTAGGTTTTTGATATGGACAGCTGAGATAATGGTGATGCTATTTACAGGGAAAACTATTCAGAAATGACTGATTTTATTTTGTCCAAGAAGAGATTGTGGTCGCCTTTGTGAAATTTAAATAGAGATGTCAAGTCTCTGTGTTTGAGTTGGCTTTGAGTGGACAGAAAGTCTAAGATGGAGAAACAAATTTACTCGTGTAGGGAATATATTGCAAATCATGAGTGTAGAATAGGTTACTTTGGTGAGTTGAAAGGACTTAGCACTAAATTAAACTAAATTCTGAGGTTTGGTAGAGAAAGTTTAGCCTACAAAAATAGACATAAAAAGAGCAGCCAGAAAAATAGGAAACCTAGAAGCAATTCAAAGGTGGTTTAAAGAGAAGAGGGAGTGGTTAGGTATAGAATGCTGCATAGACATTAAGTAATATTGGGACCACATTGTTGAATTTAGAGATACATAGGCCATTCATGGCCCTTGTAAGAACTCTTCTACTGGCTTTATAGAAGCAATGTTAGATTGGTTTGGGTTGGAGAGGGAGTGTGAGAAGGAAAGTAAAGGCAGGGAGTTTAGACAACTCTTACTAGACTGTGAAAAGAGGGAATGGTACCTGGAGGAGATGTGAGGTTCAGTTAAAATGGAGGATTGTTTTTAAATGAATGAATTGTCCTATTTAGTGGGAGGAAGAGGCTTATGAGTGCCAAGGAATAATCAATAATGTAAGGTTCTAGGGAAATAGGGTACTGATACCAAACCGGACCACAGTTTTCTTCAGCCAATAAAAGAAACAGAATTTGAGGAGAAGGAAAGTAGTTTAATTTGTTGACAAACTGAGGAGGGCAGCAGACTCTGAAAGACCACTGTCCTGCCCTTTGGCAGAGTGCAGTTATTTATAAAAGGCATCTGGGCAAGGGTCATCGTGTCCATTTGATGCAAACATATGATGCAAGCATACAGAGAGTTCGGTGGCCACCAACTTGCTTTGTTAACACCTAATGTCTAACTTCCCTAGGTGTTTAGCTTCCTTATTATCCTCTTAGTGATATGCTTCCTTTTCCTTAGAATTCAAGAAGACAAACTTGTTAAATGCAACCGATAGGCAATGCTTATCTGATGGGGCAGAAGAGAGACCTGTCCTTTCTCACTGCATCAGTATGAGTTGTAAAATCCAGATAGAAGGTATTGCCTTTAGGTTGGAAGGGAAGATGGCAAGGGGCAAAATGCTGTCTAAAAAGATAAGTGCTACATGTTCTATTTAACTAGAAATTCACTGTGAAAATTGAACAAGAGAGCCTTTTTTCCCCCATTTACAATATGTAATGCCTATTTGACGATTTTGTGAATTTCTTCTGCTAGCTCCATAACTGCTTCTATCATAAAAATGGACTCCCCCTCCAAAACAATGTATGCAGCAATAACTTCAGTATTTGGAAAGATTAATCTATTGTATATGGCATCTTTTCTCCCAGAGTTTAGAGTACTTCATTTTTATTTTACTGTAGGGAGTTTTGTCAGTGCTTATATTTCCATTTCCTGTCATTTTTTCACTTGTGGTTTAAAAACATATTAAAAAATTTCTTCTAAAGGAGTGGGAGTGGGGGGACTGGTAGAATTCACCATCTAAATTTGACTTGGTATCATGGACAGTAAAAAGCACTGTTCCCTTGTCTGCGGAAGGCTTTTTAGTAGACTTGTGTATAAGAACTGATTTTTGAATGGATAATACTTATATAAAATTCAAGAGGTTTTAGTTGTACAAACAGTGAAAACTCTTTGACTCCTGTCCTTGATTCACTCTTAAAGCAGTTGGTGTTATTATTTTCCTAAATGTCATCCCAAAGATGTACAGACAAAATTCACATGTAAATATAATTTTGTTCTTTAAGAACTTTGTATTTTTTGGTGGCCATATAGTGTGGACATACCAGGCATGATGAGCTGATTTGTGTCAGCTTATGGTTGATGCTAGTGTTTGTGATTGACTTGGGCATATTTAAGTGGTTTTGATTGTGCATTGCTTTTATGGACAATAGAAATCTCTAAATCTCGATGCTTAAATTTAAATATCTTAAAATATAGTTGTTTGATTTGATATTGATACATACTGTCATGTTTTCTTAGGAAGATGAACAGTTTAGATTCATTTATGCTATTAATACAATTTAATTATTAAAAAAACAGCTGTGTGGTCATCTTAACAAGTTTGCTTTTAACCTGATGTTATATTAGGTACTTTGAGAGGATGTTTTAAAAAGCTAGAGATGGGGCCCTCCCTGGTGATGCAACAAATTAAAGCACAACACTATGAAGCCACCGCAGCCACTGCAGCATGAATTAGATCCTAGGCCAGGGAGGTGACCCACATAGTGTGGCAGACCTCTCCTGACCCACCTGCTGCTTATTTCAATACACCTGCCTGTTCTGCTCCCTATTCTGTCTCTGGTGAATCCTCTCACCCCTTACACCACTGGCCTGCACCCCAGTTCTTTGTGCATAAGTAAATAACTCTTCTAAAAAAATTAGAGTCATGATACTTATAAATTTCAGTTATGTGTATTTCTTAGATATTTAGTTTTAAAGGGAATTTTATTCCAGAATTTATAAATTCATCCTTTACAGAAGAATCAACTCTCATTTATAGTCAGTTTGAAAATATTGAGTTTTCCCCTCAGATCTGAATGTAGTTCACATCAACAAATATTTTATTTTCTGTTTGTATTGCCAGCATGCTTCATTTATGGCACTGGCAGTTTGTTGGTTTAACTTTTACTCCCTCTGTTGGTTTTTAGAGGTGTTACATTCCTTTTGGAGTGATGTTAGGACTAACATTGATGCTCATTTTCATTTAACTAAGAAATTATAATAATAATGATGCAAATATTTATGAAGTAGACTACACATGGGGTTATTTTAAGTTAATGTTTCAAATGTTTCTATTACCTGTAAATGTTCACATTTTGATGACTTTTAAGGAAATTTGATCAAAATGCTTGTCAGTACTTGAGAACAGGGCCTTGAAAAACTAACAAACAAAAGGAATATAGAATAATTCATGTTTGTAGTAAGCAAAAATAGGACTAGTATATTTGATCAAAAGAATTTGTCAGGTGTTTTCTAGTTACTTGTTATTTACTCAGTGTAGTGATAGAGCTGTCTCACTGCGCCTGACTTCTAGCTTAATGTTCATGTCTGTGATCTATGGGACATGATGCAATTGCCTTCTATAATATATGTGCAGGGTAAAATACTTAACTACAGTTCTTCCTTCCCCCACCCTGCCCCCCTTTTTTTTTTCACCTAGTAATTCTCAGCATCTTTTTAAAAGCCACAAGTTAATGTAGTTTGCATTGTGTAGGTCTCAGTTCTTGTGGTTAAAGATATTGTTCCATTTCTCCATGATTAAGTGGAGTTGTAGCACACGCAGTAGGGGCAGGGAGTGTTCTAAAATTAACTATGAGGTGGAAAACATATGGGATGTTTTCTCTTAAACCCTTAAGTCATTCATTGAATAGCGTATACTAAGTTTTTCTGGGCTCAGAAGCAGTTGGTCTGTATTTTGTAGCTATTTTTAATGAAACAAAACATATATTTAAGCACTAGGTGCAGATTTAGGATAATGAGAGTTTGTGGGAACTAGTATGGACAGACTGGGGGAATAGCAGAGTTAGACCTTTCTTCTTTAATGTCCCTTTATAAAGACTAGCAAATTTTAGTGAGAGGAATGGCAGATGAATTGGACACATAATAATTACTTTTGTTGCCCATTTGCCAGATGTGTGTAGTTGAGTTTTTTTTTTTCTTAAACTTAAGTGCATTAAGTGTTATTTCACTGTAAACGACCTCCCTCCCCTCCTTTCTTTGAGAGTTTGAGTATAAATGTGATCATTTTAGTATGCGTACAAGAATTGGGGTACAGGCCAGAGGTGCAGGGGATTAGGGGATTCACCAGAGACAGAGTGGCGAGCAGAACAGATGGATTGACTTGAAATACACTGCTGAGGGGAGCAGTGGGTGAGACAGGAGAGGTCTGTTGTGCCACTGGCTTAATTAACTCCCTGGCCAGGGATCCAAAGGGATCTAACTCATTTAGAGTGGCTGTGGATAGCTTCATAGTGCTAAGATGTAACCACTTGTGCCACCAAGGAGGCCCAGAGCATTCCTTTCTTGAACACTAAAGTTTTAAAGTTGACAATCCTTCTTTGGTAGCCTGTTGGCCTTGCAAGTTCAATAATGGAGGATTAATATTGTGTCATATTTAGTAGCTTTGTATCTAGTGTTTTGATCATACTTTGAACTTGGTGTTAAATAAAAATATTTTACAGATGATAGATACATTTCAAAGGAATGCATAGTGGTAACTTTTGCCACTCATTTATGAAGGGAGATATATTGTGTAAGATTAAATAACCCACCATTTTTGTTTATTGATTTTGTTGTTTTTGTGCAGGTTGCTCTCCTGTTGCATCTTTGACATAATTTCCTCGACTGCTCCATGATTTAACCCAAAAGTCTGAAATGAAGATGGAGGAGGCAGTGGGAAAAGTCGAAGAACTCATTGAGTCAGAAATCCCACCAAAAACATCTGAACAAGAGACAGCTAAGGAAGATGGAGCTGTAGAACTGGAATCTCAAGCTCAGAAAGATGGTGTAGTGGATTCTACAGTTCTTTCTTCAATGCCCTGCTTGCTAATGGAACTGAGAAGGGACTCTTCCGAATCTCAGTTAGCATCCACAGAGAGTGACAAGCCTACTGCTGGCCGAGTTTATGAGAGTGACTCCTCTAATCACTGCATGCTTTCCCCTTCTTCTAGTGGTCACCTGGCTGATTCAGATACACTGTCTTCTGCAGAAGAGAATGAACCTTCCCAGGCAGAGACAGCAGTAGAAGGAGACCCTTCTGGAGTGTCTGGTGCCACAGTTGGGCGTAAGTCTCGGAGGTCCCGATCTGAAAGCGAAACATCCACTATGGCTGCCAAGAAAAATCGGCAATCCAGCGATAAACAGAATGGTCGAGTCACCAAGGTTAAAGGTCATCGGAGCCAAAAGCACAAGGAAAGAATCAGGCTACTGAGGCAGAAACGAGAGGCTGCTGCGCGGAAGAAATATAACCTGTTGCAGGACAGTAGTACCAGCGATAGTGACCTGACTTGTGACTCAAGCACGAGCTCATCAGATGATGATGAAGAGGTTTCAGGGAGCAGCAAGACAATCACTGCAGAGATACCAGGTAGAGGATGTTTTTTAAACTGACTGTAGAGCACCTGATGGCTTTCCTCAGCTGTCAGGCTCAGTTAGATGAGTGACACTTGAAAAAACCCAGGAGACCTGCAGCTCTGTGTAAATTTGAAGACTGCAGTGTATTTACAAGACATGGCCAATTAAAAAAAAACCTATTCTGAGGTTTCTGGTGCACTTTAGCACATCATCAAAAAATATTTAAATGGTTAATGATAGGGACAAGATTATTTTTAAGTAGTGGACTTTCATAAGTCTTTCTCTGTAACCCAATACCTGAACTCCCATCATTGCCTTTTTAGCACTGCTTAGATTTAATACTCAGTGTTCAACATTATTATTAAAAGTACATTCTCCTCAGGAATAGGCACCTTGCTTTATTATATAGCCACTGCACTTGAGCTTACGGTGTCTGAAAGAACATGTTAGATCTTCCCTTAAAGTTTCTAACAACTGTTCCTCCTAATAATTCTGTCCCTTCTTTGTCCTCACCATTCTGTGCATGATAAGCTAGTTATCCTAGTTGCACATTTTTCTATTCCTAGTTGACACTTGCATTGAAAAGAATGTGTTTTTTGGGGGGCACAAAATATCCCTTTTAATTTCCCAAATTAAAAGGTTTGTTAGAAATCTTATTCCAGCTGTCATTGGCGCAAGGTTCTGTCATTCATTACATTTGAATGACAAATGTACCTGTGTTCTCTGTATTATGACATCTGGTACTGTATATGACAAAGGCAATCTTGAGATTTCATAGAGGAAGAAAGATGAGTTCTGAATGCTTCTTATTGGCTGAATTTTTATTATTGAAGAGACTTATGGCTAGGAAAATTCTGCAAACCATTGGGTGTTCAATAGATCTTGATAACATTGTTTATTGCTACTTTAAAGAGGGGCAAGTTTGGGTTTTCCAAAGTTTTGTTGGGTGCCTGTTTTTTCTTCCTAGCTTTCTGAAAGGTTACTATTTCTACCTGTGAAGATAGAGTATTGTTGCTATTCAAAGAATATTTCAAGAAAAATCTAGTTAATTAAGCTTACAGTTAACCAAACTTGCATAAACTCAGTAACGAGAATGATTGGTTTTAAAGCACTTTATAGGTGTTCAGTTAATAATAACAGTTTCAGTCATAAATATTCGATGAGTTTTTAACAGTTGTTAGAAATATTTTCTATTTTACTATGTATTGTATTCCTTTAGAAATTTCTTGTGTTGCATAGTAGTTCTTGTGTTACTGGAGAGGTGATTTAATTGAAGGTTATCGGTTGAATGCATGAGAGAAGCAGACTGTGGAGTTGTTCTGAGGCATGTTCTAGGTATATTTCAGCTTTACAGTTAATAACGTTTTTAAAGAAAGCTTTAACATTTGTGAAATTACTTGTTCATATATTCTTATGTCCTGTTCTCATCTACTAATCAAGATCATGATGACTTTCAACACAGTGTTTAATTTCGCTCACTAAAAAGGCTGTTATATAATAACCCTTTGCCTTTTTATGGAAAGGGAAAAGAAAGTGAACAAAAATTCCTTTTGAAGCTAGACTCCATTGTGGAGGTGGTGGGACAGAGTATCTTCAGGGGCACCCTTCCTGTGTGGCTTACATGGGTTAGATATGCTTCATTTTTTCCCTAACCTCTTTGCTAATTAACTACCTTGACTAGTGTTTAGAAATTCTTTAAAACACCAGTGGTATGTTTCATGTCTGTTCTGAATTGTATACTAAGCAAAAGACCAAAGTAAATTATCTGAATATATAACTTACTATCTACTGCTCGTACCATTTATTTTAGTCTTTGAAAATATGTAGCATTTTCTAAGGTGGTTATGGAAATCAAATAGATAGAGTATATATAGGACCTTTATATAAGACTGCCTAGGTGGTATGCTGCACAGTTTCAGCAGGTGTTGTTTATAAAAAACAGGTATGAATGGCCTTTTCTGGAATTACGCAAATCGGTGAAGATGTAATAAACCTAGTTTTAAATATTAGGGATTTTAACAGTTCATATTGTTGCCCCTGAAAAATTGCAACATTATGCATTAATGCATTTCTAATGTATAATTACGTATATCTGTTTTCTTAGTCATATTATGATTTGGGGAAAGAGGAGTGCACTCAACAGCAAAGGTAGTTGAGAAGTTACATAAATTATAAAGATGGGATGAGTTATGAACTGACTTGAATACAATAACATGGACAATCAGGTGAACTTTAAACTGGATGTGCCCAAAAGAATCTCGTGGATGTTGAAATTTGAATCCAGCTGTGTACACAGAATGGAAATCAAGAGGAAAAATAAAAACTAGAAAAATAAAAACTAGATTCTTGCTGTACTTTCAATAAAGATACAACTAATTTAGTAATTAAGAGAATATTTTATTTGCAAAACTGTTTGACAGCAACTTTAACATTGAAGGGATTATGTAAAATGTTCTCTTAAACTAGATTTAACAGTGAATGCATTCTTTCAAAAAATGAAAATAGTTAATGATGAAGACTTATGGAACATGATCATGCTTAATAATTGAGTTTGATGCCTGGGCACTAGATATTTCTGAAGTTTTTTTTTTAAGTTAGCTGATAAGCTAATCATCTATCCATGGTAGATCATTCTTGAAGCTTTTGAGAATATATTTGTCTGAAGACTATTTGGAGTCTTCAAGATTATTTTGGCAGTTTTATCATTTGGGGGCCTTAAAGATAATCAAAATTAGAACATTTTGTAATGAATATTCATTTCAGAATACTTTGAGTATTCAAGATTTATCAAATGCCATATTTATCTTTATGGACTTTTTTTTTAATTAATCATTCTTTACAGTTTTATGATTAGAACGTTCCTCTTTCCTAACTCCCAAAGAGGGATTTCTCCATACTGTCAAATTGAGACTAAATTTATATAATCTGCTCTTGCAGGGAATTTTGATTTTAGTGAATATGGATAATGGACATTCATCTTTATTAAAGAAATTAATTTTCTGAACAGGCTAACAGATGTAAATGAGAAGAAGGAAAAAGTTTTTCTAGTAACTGTTGCTTTTTAAATATTTAGCATAGTGTAAACCTCAGAGTTGTTTCAGCTTACCTTGGCAGTAATGACCTGCTTTTGTGTGGTTTAAAAGTCCTCTGTATTCATGGCCTATCCAGACTGAGTGTTCTAAAGATAGTACCCATTTTGGTAGGTAAGGTTCAATTGTCTTAGCTGGTTTGCATTTAGAAAATCTGATTGGTTTAAGTGGAGACTGCCTGAGGTTATTGAGGTTCACTGACTATTATAATGACCTGAGTTCCCAGTCTTAAGAGGCCAGGCTAAAATGGCTCAACCTCAGTTAAGCCAGAGATCTTAGCACATTTATACATTGAACATTTATACATTGAACATTATACATAGCACATTTATACATTGAAATACATCATGACAAGCAGTCACCTTAACGTCAAAGTTTCTGGAAGTAAAAAGTTACGTGTGATAGCTAACTCTTGCTTGGGAAAAAAAAGTCATTTTTAAGTAGTAAATCTTTTATAGAGATGTTTGAGAATAGAAAAATGTGAAAATTAAAAACCATAACTCTGCCTTTGTTATGTTGCCTTCTGCAACATGTAAAGCAAAATTCATCATAGCGTGTGTACTTCTGTTTTCCTTTCCCTTAATGTTGCCATTAAGCTTTTAACTGTAATATTCTCCCTAAAATGTGTGGATTTTGAGTACCTTGGCCAACTCTAAAATAACTTCACCAACATTAATTAGGGAAGTTAGACTTGCATAATTACAGTTTGGTTATTTTGGTTTTCACTATTATTACAAGGAAGGGTGTGAACACTGGAGGCTTTTGACATGCTGCCAAACTGCTTTTTAAGAATTTATTATGTTTATTCCACCCCAAAACTTGAGAATTCATTGCATTATATTCTTATTATTTGTTTATCTGCTATTTGTATTATCTGCTATTTTGAACGCAGAATTGTTTGTTAGTCTTAGTTTACATTTCTTTGATAATTAGTGAAATTGATTGAAATTGGTTATTTATATCCTTTTGGTAAGTAATCTATTCATGTTCTTTGCACATTTCTCTTTTGTCACACTTTTCTTACTGATTTTTGAGAATTCCTAATCTGTTGGTGATTGAATTACTTGGAAAAATTTTAATTTTTATTTAATCAGTGAGCACTCATGATACATGATAAGACCTTATGCCCATATCAGGAATCCCATGACCTTTTCCTGGATTGAGTGAGAAGTGTCTGCATGCCTCACATCCTCATTTTAAGCTTTTTGTAATCTAGTTGTATTTTAGTAGTTATTTAGGAGACTCATAAAATACACTGATAACAAAACACTAAGATAGTAATCAGGTGAAAACTGCCTATTTTCAGCCAAGTAAATGCAAACAAGGCACATAAAATCCCAGCAGTTTTCAATGTGACTACCTATTATTGAAATCACTTGAGGAGCCTTAAAAAATTTTTGGCCCCCCACTACAGACCAATTAAATCAGACTCTGGGTCTGACTCATTTATCAGCATTTATCCTCAGCTTTTTTTGAATTATCAACATGTAATAGCTTGTAAATTTAAGGTGTACATTGTAATGATTTTTGATATATGTATACATTGAGAAATGGTTACCACAATAAATTTAATTAACACATCCATCAGTTCGTAGTTAAAATTTGTGTGTATGTGTTAGAACCTTTTAAAATTGTTCTTACCAGTTTTTATATATACAATATAGTATAGTTGATTATAGTCATAATATTACTTTACTTACACTCCCAAAACTTTTAAGTTTGTATATGAATTTGTACCCTTGATTACTCATTCATCCCTCCATCCCTACCACCTGAATCACCAGTCTGTTCTGTGTGTCTGTTAGGTTTTTCAAATTTCACATGTAAGTAAGATCATGTAATATTTGTCTTTGTCTAACTTACTTCATTCAGCCTAAAGTCATCATTGTTTCTGAAGCTCTGAGGTAGTGATAGTGAGCAGTTG